TTCGGATATCGTGCACCACTGATGTTAGTCGTGGCCTAGATTAGTGTGATGGGCTATTGTTGCTGTGTGTGCAGTCATTGGCGGCATCTCGTCATGCAAACCGAGACATCGATGTAATCATTCATGGGTGGCTGAGGTCCGGATTCGAACTCAGCCTTTGTGACGTGGCTATTACTGGTAGGAACCTCCTGGTTACACCAGCACACAAGGGGATTATTGTGTCCGTCGTGCAGGGAGGGGCTGGGTGGAGAGGGAGGGACTGGGTCGGGAGGGGAGGGTGGGCAGGGGCTGGGTGGAGAGGGTGGGGAGGAGCTGGGTGAGGAGGGTGGGGAGGGGCTGGGTGGGGTGGGTGGGGCTGGGTGGGGGGTGGGAGGGGTGGGGCTGGGTGGGGAGGGGCTGGTCACCCCGTGGTGCCCTTATAAAACTCAACGTTTAACCTACTCACGCCGGCATGTGCCCACCCTCACAGTCGGGCATATTTGCGGAATACACCACGCCGCCGTTGACCCTGGCCATTGACCGAGCAACCCAACGTTCCTACCAGCTCCCTCCGCAGGACAATGTGTTATGAACCGCCTGAAGTGTCCGTCCACCTCCAAGGTTCTGTTTTTACACCTTCTGTGTCAAGGTTCGTGGTTGTTCTTCATTGGCGTTGGGAGTCCAGACCTTCACCTGCGACTCCGCGCACTTTCAGCAATTCACGGTGACGCCGTGCATTTCTCGTTTTCAGTTTTCGCCAGCGGGTCACGTAGCCTCTGGCTTGCTGCTCAAAGTAAACTCATAATAGCGCTGCAGCGTGACACGTGTATGTCCAGAGTGAACCAGATGTCTTGTGACCCTTCTCTAAAACTTTATATTTTATACCAACGGGTGTGTAATGTAGTGTAAACAATATAAAATCACATAAAATGTTCGGGGTAAATTAGTTGGGGGGGGGGGGGGTCACAGGACATCTGGACCACTCTGTACATCAGCCTCTCCCATGACGGTGTGCCTCGCGAGGACGCAGGCGGTGCAACTGCGCCGCAGCCCACTGGCCGGCAGCTCCCGGGCGCCGAGCTACGAAGTGAGGGATAGATTGCACAGCAGGGGATCCACAATTTTCTATTCCTTGTAGCAGGACCCTTGCTCGCCATGCTGCATGCGCTATTGCCTCTAAGCCAGTGTTTTTTTAAGCAACAGCAGTTTGAAGCTTTCCGCGGAGCGCTCTTGTCGACGACAACAGGACCTCACTGCGACATTTGTTTAAAAGGCAATGTTCTATCCGATGAGCCTCAACGCAGTCGAATCTGGTTAAAGATTGCTTCCTTGCATGTGTGCGTGTTTCGGTATGCTGGCATTATTTTAATACTGTAATCCGATCCTCAAAAAACATGAGTACTCCATCAATGGTCTTGATTGACAGTTTGTATTCATACTTGCGTTACTCTCGGTCATGGGAACATGATGTGTGCTCAATGAATACAGAAAATGTCACGTTTGCTTTAACCAAAGGGCAACTGCACACACACACACACATAGGTGGGCGGTTCCATAGATTAAGTGGCGGTGACATCAGCACGGCGATTGTGTCACGCTAGGTGAAAGGTAAAAGGCGCATTTGTTTGCTCACGCCACTGCAAGTGGAAGGGCCTCCATGAAATTAAGCTCTAAAGAGCCCCGATATAGAGGCATTTGGCCTACTCTTCCACTCTGTGAAGGGGTCCATGCTATGCCAGTTTACCCCGCTCTATCTGGCCAAACAAAGCTTTTTGGGGCATGCGGTGGCTGGGCATGCGGGCTGCATGACCCAGCCAACGCAGCCTCGGCTACCAATTAGGCTCATAGATGCGACTGTGCCCATATCTTTCAAGGATTTGTGAGCTCCTTGCAGAATCCAATCTGGTTAAACCAAGAGTGGAGCGTAGGTAGGCCGGCCTAAACGTTTCAAGTTGGCGCTGGTGTTTCTGTAAACGGGTCCACGTTTCGCAACGAAGAGAGGAGAGGGCATGATTAATCACTAGGAGCTTCGTTTGCAGCTGCAGGCCAGATGTTTCCAGAGGGTTATGCAGCTGATGAAAAGATACCTCAAATGATTGAGAGGCAGACCGCAGCCAGAGCTGACCATGAACAGACTGCTCAGGTGTTTCATTTTGGTGGAACTGATGGTAAGGGCTTACCTCTTCATTGCAAAACTCCAGCTGTAACAGCAGAGTTTCTAACTCAATCTAGAGAGTGAGCGGCAATTACCATGTCATTAGCATGCATAACATGGTTGACCAATAGGGAATCGATCAGCCTCCTATTGTATCTGTACCAGATGGACATTTCTCTGATATGGTTATGAAAAGCTTCTCGAACTGCGTATCCAATCAAACAATAAAGAGTGGAGGGGCCAGAGGACATCCCAGTCGCACCCCAAGACAAACAGAATAAGTAATATAAAAAAAAAACTTTTTTAAAAACACGCATTAATAAAATTTACTGTACGAGTAATGGCAGAACTCCACGACTCCAGGAAGTGGCCCCGAGGCTTGCCATAACGTAAGGGGCCGTGGTGATTTACAGCCAACGTGAGTTGAGCGTGGACAATTAGACCCAAGGCGAAACATAACATATAAAAAGATGGTTTAAATTTTAATTTTTAATTTTTAATGATATAATATAGTATTGCCATCAGTATGATATAAGTATACCAAGTTTGCATTCGATACCACATTGGGAAGTGGGTTAAATTGAGTTACAAGATTTGAGGATACAACAACAGAGTTAAAAATAAAAGCGTGTAAAATAGCTCTGACTCCCAGATACGCAGGCTTATTATGGTCGCCTTGAGCCTATCCACAATCATGAGGATGAAGTTCACGTTTATTTGTTAACCAATGATGAGAACTCAAGGGATCAGGATAGAGCCTCATTCGCAAAAAAGGTGACCTGAGTCACCAAATTGTCAAAAGAAAAACAACAAAGTACAGCGGATAAATAGACAGAAATCAGAGCAAAAAGTAACTGTGACGTGAGAAATCTGAAATATTGCACAAACTTAAATCAATGTAACAAAAATATGTATACCCTGTAGAATATCCCGGCTCTTGTAGATTACGTTTAGACTTATAGTACAATTGCAAATCAAGTTACCGAAACATTAAACAACTATTGGGGTGACCTTGTACTACTATTTCTACTTTATTTTACCAGTTAAGGCTCACGGAGCTGTATAGTTTTTTTTTCAGAAGCGACCTTGCCACAAATGATAGTTCAACGAAGTGGCTTATCATCATGTGGAAGTTCATAGCAGCCAAATACTCGAAACACATTTTTCTAAATGTAGAGGGAAAAACCGGAGGACAAGGGAGCACAATTCACACGACCACAGGAAGAGACATATGCAAACTCCAAATACAGAGCGTCAGGGTCGGGATCGGGATCGAACCCACGACCTCCTGTATACCAGGCGAGGTAGTTAACATCTCGCCACCGCGGCCCCATAATATCTAATATGGAAACCGACGAACCAATTTCAGTTATCATAAAGAATCGACATTTCCGTGCCTCAGATGGGGAATTAAACGAGGAGATTGTTGATCGTGAGTGCACACGTGATTGCTATGACGCATACACAGGCGTTTAATAACCTGTGCACCCGCATTTCCTCTACAGAATGACGCTATATTGTGGTCTGGAATGTTGATTTCACACACACACATGTATAAGGTGTCTTTGCCTTTGGGGTTGGGTCTGATCATACGGCTGCGCACTTGAAGCATGCCGATGTGATGACGGCACGAGTGTGTTGTAGCCACGAGGGAGACAAAGGCGGTCGGGCGTGGTGCTGGCCACCCACCCCTCTCACGTGCCGTTCCGCCGTCATAGGTGCTCGCTAACAGTACTTGGCCCAACAGTCTGTTAAGGCTACACGTATTTACTCTCTGTGCGTACATCGATTGCGTCTATAGGTAGTGAGTCTGTGTGTGCCTGCGGTGACTGCTCTCATCTGGGGAGTCTCTGTGTGGGTCAGTGTGTGTATGCGTGTGTGCGTGTCGGATTCTGTGTGTCTATCCTTGGTGTATGCTTGTGTGTGGCTGTACGTGTTGACGTCTGTGCGTGCGCGATTGTGTCTGTGAGTATGAATGCGTGCACGTGGCTGGGGCTGCGTGTCGGAGTGGAGCGGTGGCGCAATGGTTAGCGCGCACTGCGCTACGAACCTTGACCACACACGGGTTCGATTCCCGCTCACGGCCAACACCAGTGGCGATTATCTGAACCGGTTCTGGGCCTCCCCTAGGTTGACTCAGCCCTAAATGGGTACTTGGTGCGTTACGTAAAACATTGTCACTAGGGAGACAAAGGCGGTCGAGCGTGGTGCTGGCCGCCCACTCCCTCGTGTGCCGTGCCGGCCTTCATAGGTCCTCGCTAACCGCACGTGCCCCAACAGTCTGTTAAGGCTATACGGGGGATCTTTGTCTTTTGTATGTCGAAGTATCCGTCGGGAGCGGTGGCGCAGTGGTTAGCGCACTGCACTACGAAGCGAGCGAGCGATACGAGTGACGACTATTCGAACCGGGTGTGGACCTCGCCTAGGTCAACTCAGCCCTTAAACGGGTTGGACGCGATTTGTTAAAATCGGCACTGGGGAGACAAAGGCGGCCGAGCGTGGTGTTGGCTACCCACATCCTCGTGTGTCGTATCGGTCTTAATAGATGTTCGCTTAACAGCACTTGCCCCAACAGTCTTGTTAAAAAAAGCCTATGCGGGGATCTTTATCTTTGTATCTGTGCGAATCTCTGCGTGCGTTTGGCGCGCACGTGCGAGTTTGCGTGCGTGCGTGTGTCTGTGTGTAGGTGTAAGTCTGTGTGTGTGAAGTTTTTTTGCAAGTGCGTGTGTGTGTGTGTCCGCGATCGTGCGCTACGTGCTCTTCACCCCCCCCCCCCCCAGCAAACCCACAGACCGAGCCTTTGGCCGCCTGCGAGTTACGTTCCTGCTACCTCCCGACTCGACTGAACCACTCCCCCCCCTCCAACCAACCAACCCGTCGCGTTTTGCGAGCCATTCCACTTTCAGAAGTCACGCCGAAGAGGAGGAGGAGGAAGACCGAACGGCATCATCGACATCACAGTCGTCATCATCATCATCACCCCCTTGTCACCAGCAGCAGCAGCGGCAATAACCCAGTCATCACCGCTCCAAGTTCTTTGAGTTGGTTCAGCAGCCGGCGTCTTTCGCGGCCACGTCACCAGTAGCAGCCACAGCATCACCACCACCATCATCAGCAGCAGCAGCCGTCGTAAGTTGCGAGTGAATTTCGAACGATTTGCTCTTCTGATTTGATGTGTGTGTGTAGTCGGGTTAGCAGTACTCTGGATTTGGAGTTCGCCGGCTCGGTTTGATCGCCCGTTGCGGCAGCTGGAACAATGGGCGCGTGTTTTGTAATCACACCCCAGCCACCCGTCCGCCACTTTCCACTCGGCAGTATGAATGGGGGTGACAAGCGGAGGTAGTGTGTGTGGTGGGGTAAAGTGTGGGGTAGTCCCACCTCTTCAACGCCGTCTGACCAGTGTGGAAAAATAGGGTCAAATGTACCTTGTAGAGGAGGGCGGGGGGGGGGTTACAACCCATCATCCCTCCGGGGTCGATACAGTGGGTAGTAAATACCACTTTGTGGTTGTCCTATAGGCAGACTCGCCCCCGTCGGAGGAATGTGGAATTCCCATCGCTGCTTCGGGGCTGTGGACAGGAGATGAGCAACCAATGCCTCAATTCACGTTCCGATTTGTGTGGCCATGCGTGTCGTCCCCTCGGTGGACTCCGCGTAAAACCAGTACCTGTTGCGGTGGGTGTAGACACGAGTACTGGGGAGACAAAGGCGGCCCGGGTTATTTTGCTCCCGGCCACACCACCGCGCCTCGTGCGCCGTGCCGGCCGGCATTCGTAGCTTCTCGTGAACGGCACTTGCCAGTAAAGTCTTTTAAATGCGGAACTGTGCTTGCTCATTGGACTGTCTCTGTACTACAGCCACGGATCGCTGATGAACCTTCATCATGCAACAGGCGGGTTCAGCGTTCGTCATCTATGGATGGTCCTGCGTGTGTCCGTGCTGAACTTCTTTCGCACCGTACGCAGCCTAACGTGCTCATCGGTGGAGCCTGGTTATACCTCTGGTATACTGACGAGCCCGCATAACGACAAGGACACGTGTTTTGTTCCACAGCCCTTCGGGGGTTCTCCTTGGCAGTATATACAGTATATATATATGGAGCTGTTCTCACTGATGACTGTGTACATGTGCATCCCACTGGTCAATCCACTGCTGGATGAGGGCCTCGCCACGCCGTGCGGGTTGTTGTGGGGGTGGGGGTTGGTTTGGCAGATATGTGGGAACATCGATGTCCTGTGCAGCACACTAGATTTTGGAGCGAAGTAGCCTCAAGCCTACTTAGCTTCCGAGATATCGCGACGTGTGATTGTCTCGAAGGTGAATGTATAAATAACGCGTGCAAGAATATTCTCAGCATTCTACTAAGCAATTAATCGGCATGCGTATACATAGCGGTGTGTCCGTTAGGCTAATGTACATCACAGCTGTTGCAGTATTATTTATAAGTGTTATTTATTTCCGACGTTACCTAAGGAGGTCCCCTCTGAGTCTCAAGACTCTTTCCAGGAGGGTCCTGCAACGGTTTTCTTTTTATTTAGCAGTTGGAGGGCGCTACAATCAACTTTTCTGCGGTGTAACTTTTGTACAATTTGCCAAGTTTGAACCGTGACGTCCTACACACAATGGCCTATTTGCCTTCCAATGACCTCACGGTATTATTCACGTCCACCCCGGGGTTTACCGGGCGCTGCGGTGGCGAGGAGATGTTAACTACCTCGCTTGGTATACAGGAGGTCGTGTTCTCTCTCTCTCCCCGTGGTCGCGTGGATATTTCTCCGGGTCCTCCGGTTTTCCCCACCACATTTTGAATCGACACGTGTCTAGAATATTTGGCTGCTATGCATTTCCACGTGATAAGTCACTTAATTGGGCTACCATTTGTGGCCAGGTCGCTTCTGAAAAAGAGTTATTATAGCTCAAGTCGGCCTTACCTGGTAAAATAAAAAAAAATAGTGAAGAGTTTAGTTTTATTATTATCGATCAACACTCACACACGTTAATACTCACGCAGTATTAACCAGAGGCGGCCTTCCGGATTCCAACCGCGAAGCCTCTGCAAGAAGGCGGCGAACGCGCTGAACCGCTGGGTCACGTCCCGTGGGCCACGTTGCGGTCAGGGTGCTCCAGAAGTAACATCGCGAAAGTGACCACTAAACCCAGGTGGCCATTGCATCGGACCCGCGTGCATTTTCCTTCTTGAAAGCCTAAAACTACAACACATGAGCACTGTGGGCCTTGCCAGCAGGAAATTGTCATTTCCTCTCCCCCCCACTCACAAACACGGCGGGGTGGGGGGAGGCTCCCTTCTACTCCGGCCACTTGGTGTTTTTGTTAACTTTCACAACCAACAGTCACATACAACACGCGCGCCTTAATGCTCATGTGATCTACTCGTGTGGAGCGGTGGGGCTGGAGGTAGGGTGGCGCAAAGGGGTCGTGATGGCCGTGTCATAGAGGGGGTAATGTTGCGTTTCGGTGAAGTCTTTTCTGACCTGGTTGAGACGCTGGCGAACCCGGTTTCAATCACAGCTTGGTCTACGAGTCTCTACGGAAGTGTCATGGGTCTCCACGTGAGTCGATTAGTCTCTGTGTAAATCTACGAGTATGGAAGGCGATGTGGATTTCTCAACCCGCTGCACTGCCAAACTGGGTTTAAATCACAGCGAGTCTATGTAAGACTCTGTGTAAATCACTGGGGACTGGCCTGGTACCAATACATTTGCAACACTGGGTAATCTCTCGTTTCATCGTAGACTGTGGCCTCGATTTGAATCCAAGGCATCGATGGTGCCAAGCTCGGGGCTGGCTCTGACCTCCAAGTCACCCACCTTCCCCCCATCTCCACCGCTATAATATCCTTCTCACATCGCATGGCAGATGTGGCTTTATCTTCCGTCGCCGATGGACAATCAAGAAAAGCCCACAGAGCGACTGGTAGTCGCCAATCCCAAACAACTGACCACACAGTAACGCCACTGCCCGATTCGGTCATTTTAACTCGGCAAGCGTCTCAGTGAGTCTACATGTCTCTGCGTAAGGCTGCCAGCCTTCATTCATGTCTCCATCTGAAGCCGTGAACGACACAACGACGCCACTCACCGTCAGCTTCCATCACTAGCCGGCAGAGTTTCAGATATTGACCAGGCCCTGTGAGTCTATGTAACTCTGTGAGTCTATGGATCTATGTTTAAGTCTCTTCACCAGGCTACTACTCCTGAAGCCATCCTCTGGCTCACTCACCAACATCGACATGAAAGAAGAAGTGCTTATTTAAAACGAAAGGTCTTCCGTGAGTCTATGGGTCTCTTTGTAAGTCCACTAATCGAGCTAGTCTATATATATATTTTTGATGAACTCCTCACCATACAAAATAATATGAATATACTTCTTGGGCCCTCATAGCTCTCCCCCCCACCACCACAGCTTGTTCCTTTCTAAGTTTATAAAACATCAAAAAAAATTGTCCATTAATTGGAATGTTCGGACAATGGGGTTTTACTTATTTTACTTGAGGGTCCTGCGGCATTGGCCTTTTTGTTGTTGCTTTCAGATGTTTTCAGCCAATTAATTTGTGAGTGCATTATTTATACAAGCGGGAAAATACCGAAGCACCCGGAGAAAACCGATGCGTGCGAGGGTGCAACGCTCAATCCCCGTTAAGATTGGAACAGACGGCGATTAGTGCCGCTGGTTGCAACCACCTTCCCCTGGCCATGCCCGGGTATGACACCTCCTCGTCGCCCACCGTTTGGGGAGCTTCGCATTTGTGCGGTGACCCACCAACCCCCTCGTCCCCACAGTGCTGGATTACAGGCCACGTGCGTAGCCATCACTGGCCGGCTTTGTGTTCAGCAGACAATGTGTGTTTATATGTGTGAGCTATATACACACTCGCACACCGTGTAGAGTAACGGTGCACTTAAGACCGTTACATAATAGCTTGTGGCTATGTACAGCCCCCTTTGTCAGTGCCGGTGATGATGTTTACACACTGCACCAGGTACTCATTTCGGGCTGAGTCAAAGGGAAGAAGTAGATATATAGGATGCTCAAGGATATTGAAGAGTGAGGGCATAATGAATTAGTTGGTATCAGACCCATTGTTGTCCTTCCCCCGCGCCTCCGATTATGACGGTTGACTATGAACGGTGCGAAAGAAGTTCAACGTACATACATTTGCTAATGACTAAAAACTAATTTTGTCACTTAATGTGGCAACCTCGGACAGGTGTGGAACAAGTTTGGGTGCAGCACTAAATAAGACACCGCTACTGATGTGTGTCACTCCTCGGGTGTTGAACGCACGTGTTTGTGTGCAGTGTACAAGGCCGTAATTACCATATATATTGGGGGAGGGGGACATCCCACACATCCCCCGCCCCCAATAATCAAATATACTCGAAATGTTTCCCCCCAATATATTGCTATAAAATAGATTTCTGTTTATATGATTGTGGTTATGGTTGTACTTTATTAATTCCTAATCTCTGCAATTACATACAATGAAACAAGAAAAGGTAAAACAGCTAAAACAGAGCAATGTAATACAATACACTGTTAGACATTACTGTAAAAAATACAATAAAAAGTCCATCCTATGTGTTATTGAGTTTTTATATTTTAGGCAGGAAATGGCAGGAAATTCGTTTTCAAATTTAGATTTTTTTTCGGGGGGACCCCCACACCCCTTGGAAGATTTGGTCCCCCCCAATGTTGACCCGTTGGCTACGGCCTTGGTAGTGTATGTGCTTTTGAGGCTGAGTCAACCTAGGAGAGGACCAGAACAAGCTCAGATGTCACACATATATCGCACTTGCCGCGTTTGCTCCCCATGGCTGGTAATTGAACCCACGTGTATGCGTGTGTACTGTACGTGTATTAAATAAGCATTGGTTGTTTTTTCTATCATTACAATGGCTATATCTGTTATCATATACTGCATTTACACACACACACATGTCGTATAAAGACAATGATGTCTGACATCCTCGAATTGACCGATAGGACGAGTGCTGTTAGCGAGCACCTATTAAAGGCTCGGACGGCGCACGAGGGGGTAGGTGGTCAGCACCACGCCCAGCCGTCTTTGTCTCCCCAGAGCTGACGTTTGCGCACCACGCCAACTGGGT